AATGTAATTTAATATGCATCTGTGATCAAAGCTGATTTTTCAGCATCATTACTCCAGTCTTCAGTGTGGAAACCGTGATGCATTTTTCAGAATTAATTTTATATATAGCAACAATGTTATGTAATGTAATGTAATAATGTGGCAATGGTTTCTTGAGACCCACTTATGCTTCTGATGCTTTTGGGAAACGCAGCCCTATTTAAAGGGGTCATATGATGCTGCTAAAAAGAACATTATGTTGTGTATTTGGTGTAATGAAATGAACTTAGACGCTTATTTTATGCACCGAATTTCTTGATAAATAAATGAAATTAATGGTTAAAAATGCACTTTAGAATCGATATTTTTATGTGAGGATCGATCCTTTCAATACAACATCAGTATCGAAAGTATCGATACTTACGGATCGATCCGCCCATGCGTAATTCAAAACAATACGAATGACACCTCTTTGGTGTAGCATCGAAAATATTAGTACAAGAACTCCTTGGAAGACATTTACAGTTTAAAACTTACAGAACCAAAACGCTAAATTGAATTCGACTTCCCAATTAATAACCAAAACAAAAACGCAATATTAATTCAAGGCTTCTGTACAAGTAACTGGGTGTAGTTTTTTTTTTTTTAACCGTTCAAATGAATCGATTCAGTGGCATGAACTCTCCTACGCTACTAAGCAACGAGTCTAAACGCAGCGTACTGTTGCCTGGATACGTGTGTTTGGCTCCCGTAGCCAGCAGTCTTTTCGACTCATTTACTCTGAAGCTTAAAGTTGTATCGCAATGGCAGAAGAAGCGCAAGAAGTCCCTCAGATCGCATTAGAGGCTGTTATTGGTTTTAATGGTAAGATAAACTGTGAACCTTATCACGTTTGATAGTTTGATCTATAATACGTGGCATTTGCTAAAATGGATGTAATTAAGCGGTACCACAACATAAAACGTTACATGGTTTTATACAGGTCATGTGTTTTCTGGACTCAAAGTGCATCCAGACAAAGAACATCTCATTTATCCTCTTGGCTGCACTGTTATTATTAAGAGTCAGAGAAGTGGGAAACAAACTTTCCTCCATGGCCACACGAACAACGTCTCTTGCATTTCTGTGTCCAAAAGTGGACGCTATATTGCATCTGGACAGGTCACGTTCATGGGCTTTAAGGTGAGCTGGTGCAATAAAAGAGGAAAAACGCTATTTACACATCGCTTAATAACATCACAGATATACAGTGCTCCCTTAATACTCCGTTCTATAGCTTTCTTAAAACGAGATGGCCATTTCTCACTACAGGCTGATATTATTATCTGGGACTATGAGAAGAAGGAGATTTATGCCCGTCTTGTGCTTCATAAAGCTAGGGTTGAAGATCTCAGCTTCTCCCCAAATGATAAGTATCTGGTATCTTTGGGTGGACAGGATGATGCCAGGTAAAAATCTTACTGCAGTGATCTAGAATTAATATTTCCCATATTTTGATGTTTCCTAGCTCTAGTCTCTTAGCAGTGTTTAATTAAACAATATATGTATCTATATTACCTATATTACAGTTTAATCTAACTACAATAAGAATGTTTTTCTCAGCATGTTTACTTGATGGTTTTAGCATTGTAGTGTGGAACATCGAGAGTAAGGAGGCTATATGTGGCAGTCCTGCTTCAGCACAGAGTGCTGGTCACTGCCTCACCATCGAGTACACCAACCTGAACGATGAAATCTTTGTCTCTGCTGGAAAGTAAGTCCAATTTTATGGTAGTTATTCATGCAAGAAACATTTCCATTTTGATCTAAAACAAAACTTTCATAGTATAATGATTCACATTTAATCTCACATTAAATAAAAAAATATAAGGTCTATTATGTTGCTTTCATTTGATAGAAAATACAACAGAAACAGCAATATTGTAAAATATTATATTACAATTAAAATCCAGATTTCCTACTGTAATATATTTCAAAATAAGTCATTTATTCCTGTGATGATCCTTCAGAAATCATTCTAATAATCTGATTTGGTGTTCAGTTATTATTATATTATAATTAATAATAATAATAATAATAATGTTTGAAAATATACTGAAAAATATTATATATATGTATGTGTGTGTGTGTGTGTGTGTAGTTTCTTTAAAATAAATCAGAATCAGAATCAGAAGAGCTTTATTACCAAGTATGTTTACACACACAAGGAATTTGACTTGACGATGCTTATGAAAGTGCTTATCACTTTCTGCAAATGTTAATTTACTGTTTTTTGTTTTTTAAGTGGAACTCTGCGTGTATGGGAGCTTGATTTGCCCAACAGAAAGATCCGACCCACAGAATGCCAGACTGGACAGCTCAAGAGAATTGTCAAATGCCTGGAGGTGAGTAAGAAGCACTGATACTGCCGGTTCTGGTTCTTACATTTTTTTTTTAACCTGCTCATACCTTCGATGGATTTCAGAGTATTTTTATGTCTAAAACTGCTATATACTGTAGAACATAAATAAACGTAAATGTTTTCCCTGCCTTGCAGATCCCTAACGATGATAATTTTTTCTACTGTGGAACTACTAGTGGGGATATTCTGAAAGTGAACCTGAAGACAAGGTTGCTCAACAGCTGTGGTCCTGTTAAACAAAAATTCAGCAAGGTGAGTCTCCAACTATGGTTTAACATAGCGAGCAGCTAAGAATTTATTTTCTTGGAGTAGTATTTATGTCATTTACATGATTTTTGAGAAAATACACTGGTACATGTGAATGGACTTAAAAATGATGCACAGAAAATTAATTATTTCTCTTTGACTCATTTATGTTTCATACAATTTAGCTCTTATTTATTGCACTACACCGTCCAAAGAACATGAGTTAACAGAGACGGTCAAAACAATTTGAACAACAAGTCTGAACAAAACTTTTTAACAGACCTTTTGTTTAAAATGTCATTTCACATCTCAAGTGCTTTTTTTGGTGTTGCAGGGAGTGAACACTCTTAAAGTCTTGAAGACTGGTGATATTTTAGTTGGATCAGGAGATGGGATGTTGTCTTTGTGCTCAGGAGGGAATTTCAAAACCATTAAGTATGTAACAACCCTTGTTTCCTCTTCTTTCTTTTGCTCTTTGTTTTCCTCCTTTGTTATTTATTCTTTCTTTCTTCCTTCATCCCATTCAACCACTAATTATGGTTTACTGATCATTTGTAACAGGAGTGTTCAGTTGGAGGAAGGGGTGACATCAGTGACCCTGCGTGGAGATGGACAGCAGTTCTACGTTGGGACAGAAGCTGCACAGATCTACAGTTTAGGCTACATTGACTTCAAACCAGAACTCATTGCAACAAATCATAACAGTGCTGTAAAGGACGTGGCCTTTCCATTGTGAGTGATATACTCCCTTCTGCCACTTGAGGGAGCCATAAGCTTTGTATTGGAATCATAAGAAAAAAAGCCTCGACTCTCCATATATTTGTGCAAATCCTCTTCCTTCAACTCTCTTTTACTCTCAACAGTGGGACGTCAGAGCTGTTTGCCACCTGTTCACAGAATGATATACGAGTGTGGCATACTGAGTCCTCCAAGGAGCTTCTGCGTATCATGGTGCCTAACATAACATGCAACGCTCTGGGCTTTATGCAGGATGGCAGGAGCATCTTCAGTGGTGAGTCTCATACAGGATGATCTATTGATCTGTGCATTAGAAATATTACTGTAAAATGTGAACTCTATGAAATGGTTTGAGGAACAATAATTTAATATTAACTTAAAGGGATAGTTCACCCAAAAATGAAAATTTAATGTTTATCTGCTTTACCCCCAGGGCATCCAAGATGTAGGTGACTTTGTTTCTTCAGTAGAACACAAACGAAGATTTTTAACACAAACCGTTGCAGTCTGTCAGTCTTGTAATGGAGGTGAATGGGAATCACGGCTTTGAGAGTAAAAAAAAAATACACAAACAAAACCAAATTAAACCCTGCGGCTCGCGATGATACATTGATGTGTAAAGACACGAAACGATCGGTCTCTGCAAGAAACTTTATATCTGTGCAAGATATTATAGTATTTATATCGTTTTTTACCTCTGATTCACGCAATGTCCGAACTGTTCGAACTGTCCTGAGCGGCGGCGCGTCCTCCTGAGCACGTTCTCAACAGTAGGCGTGTGAGGCGTCTTCTTCTTCTTGCTTTACGGTGGATCGCAGACTTATAAGTGCATTACCGCCACCTATCACTCCAGTGGACCCTTGAAACTCCTAATTGAGATTGTAGATAGAGTGTCAATGGTCTACTTGAGAAATAGGTGGCGGTAATGCACTTATAAGTCTGCGATCCGCCGTAAAGCAAGAAGAAGGCGACACCTCACGTGCCTGCTGTTGAGAACGCGCTCAGGAGATATATATATATATATATATATATATATAATGACAAAAATAATTGTACAAAATGAAAGGCTATTTTTAATATTTATATAATTACAAAAATAATTGTACAAAATGAAAGGCTATTTTTAATATTTATTTATCTATTTAATAGACAGATTGCAAAGTCACAAAATTTAGAAATTTACTTCACAGGGTGAATTAATTATAATTAATTATACAAAGTAAAAAAAAAAAAAAAAAAAATTTTATTTTTAAAAGCATGCGCCGTCAGTGGAGGGGGAGAAGGACAGGTACAGCACATCAGATACACATCAAAAACTCACTTTTATGAGCTGTGCTCCGGTTTTAAAATAAACACTGTACATTACTGTGCATTATGAGTAATGGACAATTCTGCTTTTCTGTCACAGAAATAAATTACATTTTTAAATATATTAAAATTATATTAGAAATAATAGAAAATAGTTCTTTTAAATTGTTACAATATGTCACAGTATTAGTTTTTTTTCTGTATTTTTGATTAAATAAATGCAGTTTTAGTGAACATAAAATACTTCTTTTAAAAACATTTAAAAATTCTTTCTGACTCCAAATATCTGAAGAGTAGCGTATGTAAGAAATTAGTTACCTTGGTCAAATACTCAGTTTAACTTTCATTATATAACCATATTTGTCCACAGAATGGCACAGCTGGTCAGTCAGAATCAAATTATACAGAGCCATGTAGCCATGTAAAAAGCAGGGATGTTTTGGATTTTTGCAGAATGCAGAATAAATGTATTCTTTGGCATCTTTTGTAATAAAGGTTAGAGTCTGGGAGATATTCCAGGACTCATATCGTCTCATCGAGACCATGAAGGAGCACAAAGCCACGGTTAACTGCATTAAGATCAAGAGTAACGACAAGGAGTGTGTGACAGCCAGCTCTGATGGAGCTTGCATCATCTGGGACCTGGTGTAAGTTTGAAGAGCATCAAATAATAGACATTTAATGTAGACCTATACTGAGCGAAAGGTGTTGCCCTCAAGTTATTCCTCTGTGCACAAGCCTGTTGAAAAGTTCAATCAACCACCTTTTCATGAACCAAGCATTCAGAGTGCAGATTTGCAATCTGTTTGATGTAACCTTTACCCATATCTGTCTGTGTTCTTCTCGTTTCCCATCCAGGAGGTTCGTGAGGAATCAAATGGTCTTGTCCAACACCCTGTTCAGTGTTGTATGTTACCACCCTGAGGAATTCCAGATCATCACCAGTGGCACTGACAGAAAGGTACAAGACTTGACTGATCTAGACTGATGTACTGTACTGGCATGTGTTTGAGAGAAATGTGGCCAGAAAAGTGAGAGAGCAGACAGAAAGAAAAAACAGAGATAGATACTGTGCACAACAACAAGCTGACAGAAAGCTCTCCCAGTCTCCTGTGGATGTAGTAGGATCCGCTCATTCTACTCTGTGCCAAATAGTCCATCTGCTAGTCTTAGGGCACAGCATCAGTGTCCATTTAAAGACCGCAGTTTATTAGCATACGTGTGTGTGGCTGTGTATTAAACGTACAGTACGGCCATCACACAGAAATATAAGAAAAAATGAGACCCGGCCTTAGTGCTTTAGAAACATTCATATTTTTCAAAAAGAGTAAAGAATTTAGAGCATGGTGTTCTGTTTTATTTTAAGACCTTATATTTTTGGAAAGTAGCACAATTTATTGTCAACAATGGTATAAAAGGAAAGTGCGTAACCTTCTGATTAAGGATTTGCTGCAGTTGGACAAAGAACAAAACGGTTTGGTTTAAATTTACCATCTAATAGCAGTAATTAATAAGACTCCAGACTGTAGCCAAACAAACACAAATGCGAGTCCATTGATGTCCAGGAAAAGCAGCCAAATCCAGCACAGAAGGTACAGTACTTGAAAGGACACAATGCTGGGGTCATGCCGGATACCCAGTGCTGGCGCAAAGCCTGCTGGGATAGATCTCAATGAGGCGTACCAGACCTGCTCTGTCTGCAGTTCCCAACAGTGCTCATACCTTTTAAAACTTGATAGAATTATTCTATAATAAATCATTATTTTTTTTCTCTTATTTTTTTATTTGTTTTCAGCACAGGATCATAAGTATGAGGTTTAATACATTCTGACAATATATTTTAATGAATGAGAAGCATTCAGAATGAAATAATTTCTTCTTTTTTTTTTTTAAGTGATAATCCAGTTATCAAAAAAGGAAAGCCATGTCACAACAGTGAACATCTCCATTACTGCTGAAATGCAATCAGTGACCTACAGAAATTACATTTATGTAATATCTCTTGTATACAGGTTGAGATGCAATAGCCCATGACAAAGAACAACTGAAGGATTAGAACCATTACATCATGATATTTCTGTTGCAATTACATTAGCTCTTTGATACAATGATCTGTGTGCATGCTGAGAAATTATATTGTCTTTATCTGTTTTTTTTTTCATTATAAAAATTGTTGCTATTTTACTCTTCACCTCTATCAGATTTGCCATCCATCTTTTTTAATTGTATGTTTAGTTTTCATTCATTTATTCACCATTAAAACCATTATTGGGATCTAGAACAGAGTAGGACATTTGAAATGCAATCTTTACCATTGAACAGATTGGCTACTGGGAGGTGTATGATGGTTCTGCAATCAGAGAACTCGAGGGCTCCTTGTCTGGAGCTATAAATGGCATGCACATTTCTGAGGATGGAAAATATTTCGTGACTGGTAGGTACCTTCAGTATCTTTTCACATACTGAGTTATTTCACTCTCATGGTCATTCTTCTGTCATATGGCGGATGTAACGATAACAACAGGTGGCACAATAAACAATATAAACAGAAGTATTTATTATGGTGCCGAAAAGCATAATTCGCAAAACAGATGGATAAATGTCTGCTCACCAGGTCTAAATAAACACTTGCAGAATTCAAACTGATCCCAGCAGTTATTTTTAAATGAGGTTCACAGTTTGAGTTGATGAGGTGCTAATCTAACATTTCTGTTTTTAGTGCATGTCCATGTCGCTTTCTGCAGTTATAATAATGCTAAACATCAAATCTCTCTTTCAGGTGGAGATGACAAATTACTGAAGCTTTGGCACTATTCTGATGGTGAAGTGACCCATGTTGGCGTCGGGCACAGTGGAAGCATCACAAATGTGAGGATCTGTCCCAACAGCAGATGCATTGTCAGCACCAGTGCTGATGGAGCCATCCTAAGGTGGAGATATCCACAAACCCTAAAGAGTGAATAAGAATATCTAATGCAGTTCAGATATGATAGTAGTTCAGATATACACTTACATTGCATTCCTTCTTCTTGCAAATAATTGTATTGCAGATTAGGTTATGAATTCTTGCGAGATTTAAAGGTACCATTAAACAGTCCAATTCCAGTCATTTCATTGAAATAAAGCAGCATAGAGCCCCAGTTTCGGAGGACTACTGTGAACTGCACTGTCAGCTAATATATCACCTGAGAATCTCCAGAGAGCTGGTGGGGGAGGTTTGGAAAAGTACAGCATCTACCTGTCCCAAATTTCCTCTCACCTCCGAGGAACAGCCTCAATAATGAATATCTTAACCCCTAACAGTAAGGATATTCGGCCACATACATTTTCAAAAAAGGGTTGCTGTGCTGATTTTTTGCTGATATAAAGACATAAAATAAAGTCAGTAGGCTATCCAATCAAAATTCAGCTCGGTAGTCATATAAACTGTATCTATCTGTCTTGAAGGTAAGGTGTGTGATAAAAAAAACAACAGATACATATTAGAGGATAAACCTGTACAGGGTGTCTGATAAAACAAGAAACGGTGAAACTTTTGTGCTGAGTTTACTCTTTATTCTTTATCTGGTCTCATTCATCCTTGTTAAATGGGTGCATAATGGGTCTACAGTTATAAAAATACATGAATATGATTCTAGACATGAAAATGAATCGTGGACAAACTTTTAAAAGGAAGCACACAAGGAAACAGTAGGGGGCTCCTAATGCTTTGCAAAAAGACAGAGCACAACTGTGGCATAATTGTTTATGAACCTCAGAATATTTATCATAATCTACGCCTACAATAGCCCTCCAAGGCCCCCCATTGTCCACTACAACATTGGAAGGCCCCATGACTTTTCCAGTTGTTGTGATTTACAGGAAATAAACAAATAAATACTACTACTACTACTATTATTTTACTCACAATTTCTACCAGATAAAATATTTTAGAGCTTGGCATAACTAGAAAACTGTATACTTTTAGAATTAAGGAATTTATTAATAAAAAAAAAATGAATAGACTTTTTAAGGTCTAGAAATCACATTTTTAAAATTAGGCTTTTTCAAGACAACGGGAAGTAAAAAGTTGCTGAAAAGGTTAATTAAAATAATAAACATCTTGATTTGTATTTGTTTTGGCTTATTTTAATGCTGGTATGTGTTTAAATCATTTCAAGTTCTTCAGACCGCATAAGGGGCACCGGACCCTGGTTGAAATTCAATGATTTACATGCGCAGGGATGTTTTTTTATTTTATTTTTAATGAGTAAATGAAAAGAATGATCCTCAGAATATTTAGCAACATCTACATTTACACACACATATTAATTAATTAAATATTCTCATATTAATGAAGTTAATCATAATAACCTGATTAATAATAATATTTCGGTCTAGGTAGACTTATTTGTATTAGTGACAGGAACTACATATTGCATTTCATCACGTTCCTGTGTGTTAATTGTGAATGTATGGGATCAGATTCCCGCCAAATGTATTGCAGTCACGGATAAAAAAATAACAAGTGTGAAACCAAAATTTAAGAACGCAAGTAAAATTATATTGCACAAAATCTAAAAATGAAAGCAAAGTTTTAAGAATAGCAAACAATGGTCACGGATCAAAAAATAATAAGTGTAAATCAACAATTTAATAACGCATTTAAAAAAATAAGCATGAATCAAAACTTTAAACACATTTAAAATCATATTGCACAAAACTGAAATATTAATGCAAAATTATCCGAATTGCACACAAAATCATGTTTTCCTTGGTTATATTTCTCTTTTTTTTGTGCTCTCAGACATTTTCTGCATATATTTTTATTTTTTGTATGCTTATGCTGTTTTTCCCTTAGCTCTTTATTCCACGTTCTGCGCTTCTTCTTCCAAATGTTGCAGTTAGAGTTTCATGTAAATCAGGGCAGGCTTAAGCGTCATCATTGGTCCACTAGTTCTAGATTTACAGCTCCTCCTCTAGCCAATCAGTCGAAGAGGGGCGATGACGTCACTCCAACGCGCCTCATTACTGCCGATGTTCAGTGTTCTGTTCACTTGTACGGGTGAAAATGGATAACTGTCAGCTGGGAAACATCTTTCCATACAGGACACCATTATATGTGTCTGTCTGTCACTGCTATACGCCTACCTGGTGATCCGTTAACGTTAAATGAGCCGTCCTAGCGACCTGTCGTGGTTATATTAATCTGTATATCGCGAAAGGGAGCAGCCACTATGCACCGGCCTCGCGAAGTGACTGATGTGCCTGGCTCGTCTTTACCTGACTGATTACAAGTCTTGTTATGGTTATTACTGTTAGGAGAGGATAATATGAGTAAGAGCAGGGGTTTTCAAACTGGGGTCCATGTCGTGACCCAAAGCCAGGGGGTCCCGCAAAATAATTTATATTCACCTGTATTTATTCGCCTCCGGTCACATTGCGAAAGGGATCAGCCACTAAATGCACCGGCCTCGCGAAGTGACTGATGTGCCTGGCTCGCCTTTACCTGACTGATTATAAGTCTTGTTATGGTTATTACTGTTAGGAGAGGATAATATGAGTAAGAGCAGGGATTTTCAAACGGGTCCGTGTCGTGACCCAAAGCCAGGGGGTCCCGCAAAATAATTAGCTATACTGTATTTTCCGGACTACACGTTGCATTTTTTATTTTCTGAACGTGCGGATTTATATTCCAAAGTGACTTATATAATGCATTTAATGTCAAATAAGCAAAACGTAAACAGGTAAAATCAGGCACTTCAAGGTTTATATAAATATATTTCTCATTCTAGTGTTTGACAGTATTGTTGAGTTTTTCTTCATTTCAGGAAGAGGTTCACTGAGACGGCAAGTGCATTTTGTATGTTTTCTTTATTTTACAAAAGTACAACGTTTCACTGTTATTTTGAAGGCACACAAATAAAAAATAGATCGTTTTGAATGTCTTGCTCTTATCTGACGGATATCACATCTTTCCGCTGATAAGAGGTACCCAAGTGTTCGCACCAGTGCCTCCCGTGCGCACACAACATAATCAGTTCTAGCATTGCGAACTTTAAATCGCAGCCTCTTCATCATCAAAGTAAATGAGACAACTAAACATACAAAAGGTATTGGTGATTCAATTTAGCTTGTCTTGTACAATATGTAGGTTTTGCCGGTCAGCACGAGCATCGCCATGCCGTGGTGTTTTCCAAACACATTTTTTGCATATGTGAAGGTATATGTAGATATTCAGATACGAGAGAAGTACAAAGCCTTCTTAACAAAATAAATAGGCTAATAGTTTATCAACCAAATGTTACACCGCGTCTAACGATTCACTCATGGAAATGAGAGGTATGTGAGCCCAGCAGAAGGTTCAGTTTTTAGTTTCAGTAAATGAGTTAGACTTAGCATTTAAAATAAATGTTGTTTATAAAGAATGGCACTATAATTTATTTTATGACATACAGTTAAGCAAAACACGAGGAAGAGTGTTTTTCATAATATCAGGACCATTGCAAATGTTTATTGAACTGAATCAATATAACAAGAAATATATTTTGAGTGAGTTTACTATTAATAATAACTATTTTCTCATTTTGCTCTATTTGGACAAAGAGTCCAAACAAAGCCACAGCAGTACAGTGTCCTCTACAAGCAACACAGCAGCCTTTCCTATTGAATTATTCACTTTATTCCTCACTGAATGAATCAGCCATTTGAATGAACGATTTCAAGTCTTATTCTAAAGACAGTAACTTACCGCCACCTACTGGCTGTTTTACTTTCATATTGTTGTTATGTTCAAACTTTATATCTTTGAAACATTAATATGATAGTGTTAGGCAATTATATATGTAAATAAACACAATATGCTAATAAATCATTGTGTATATCAAATCCACCTGGCCTCTGTAACTGTCTACTCTGTAGCACTATCGTTTAAAATTAATTTACAGATTTACTCATTTACCGTTAACGGATCGCTAGGTAGGCGTACAGCAGTGACAGACGAGACACATATAATTCTGTCCTGTATGGAAAGATGTTTCCCAGCTGACAGTTATCCATTTTCATCTGTACAAGTGAACAGAACACTGAACATCGGCAGTAATGAGGCGAGTTGGAGTGACGTCACCGCCCCTCTTTGACTGATTGGCTAGAGGAGGAGCTGTCAATCTAGAACTAGTGGACCAATGATGATGCTTAAACCCGCCCTGATTTACATGAAACTCTAACCTCAACATTTGGAAGAAGAAGCGCAGAATGTGAAATAAAGAGTGAAGGGAAAAACAGCATAAACATACAAAAATGTACAATATGTGCAGAAAATGTCTGAGAGCAATATGATTTTAAATGTGTTTAAAGTGATCCGTGACCATTGTTTGCTATTCTGAAAACTTTGCTTTCATTTTTTTAAATTTTGTGCACGATAATTTTACATGCGTTCTTAAATTTTGGTTTCACGCTTGTTATTTTTTTATCCGTGACTGCAATACATTTGGCGGGAATCTGATCCCATATGAATGTCGTGAATGAGAATTGAGTTAATTAAAATAATGCCCAAACTGCAGCATAATCGTTTGAAAGAGCGAGTTTATTCAGATCATGTGGTTATGTGTTTACAGGAATATTCCAATAGCTTGTAAAATCTTTTAAAAGGGTCATATGATGCGATTTCAAGTTTTCCTTTTTCTTGGAGTGTTACAAGCTGATTGTGCATAGATAAGATCCCTGAAGTTGCAAAGACTAAAGTCTCAAAACCAAAGAGATATTCTTTATCAAAGTTAAGACTCTGCCACGCCCCCCTAAAGCAATAATGATCTTTAAAAAAGCATCATATGACCCCTTTAAAGAAGGTTTAATCTGAATGTGGACATTAATTTCAAAATAATGACGCAAAAGCGATAATTAAATAGATAAAATACAACGTCTGTTCGTGTTTGGAGGGAAAATATTGATGAGCAGCGATGAAGCAGGTAAATACAGGTGTAGATAAACCTCCATTTGTGGGCTATTCATTTCCACATTCACTTCTCCCAATACAAGTTCAAAGTAAACCAGGCTAATAAGATTCATAGTGGGAGGGTAGAAAGCCGTGTATCTACCATTCAGACGCATTTACTCCAACCAGAAGCCAGAGAAAGAGAGAGCGGGCGACAAACAGCCAGTAATGGTCATCCACACACAAGTATGCTTGTAGGTGTGGTGTAAAGAACAAGAGTTGTGTCTGAAGCGTGGAGTTAAGCCCAGTGTAATTCCAGGTGCGTACAAGAGCGTCATGGATAAAGCGAAACTAGCGCAGCTGAGATCAGTGATAGGGAATGTCGGGGACGCGTTAGTCATCACGAGCCTCGGCGCAGACACCGGTGCCTTTACAGTCTGTTTTTCGTCGTCGTGATGCTTTAGTGATGTAGGTTTTCGAGACGCACAGGTGGGAGCGCCGTGTCTTCACACTATAGTGCACTTGTTTTTCTTTCTGACTTCCACTGATCGGTTTGGGTGAAACAGACTAAACATGGATACGCCGAGGGAAACCAGGAAACAAACAATCAAAGCCAAATCAACCAAGCGCAAGAATAAGACGCACAAGTCCCAGAAGCTGTTCAGAAGGAAATCGCTAAAATCGCTTGGAAATTTTATGAGCAGGATTGTCAAAACTTTGGGGACTTTGGCACACTTGGGGGACGCGGACCAGCTGGACGCGGCGGAGGATGATGATGGTGGGTTTGGAGACACTCTGGGCGCCCACAACTCTGGGAATCACAGAGAGAGCTCGCTGAGGAAGACCGCTGCGCCCTCATCTTCTTATGGGTCTGTCAAAGAAAGACTGTCCTGGTGTTACGGCGAGAAAACTCCGGGAGTTCAGGGTCTGAAGAACCATGGAAACACCTGTTTCATGAACGCCGTGGTGCAGTGCTTGAGTAACACGGTACTTCTGGCAGAGTATTTGGGTCTGGAGCAGTATAAATGTGAATTCAATGAGCGGAAGATCAACAGGACGATGAAGAGTGAGGAGGTCAGGGGGGAGGTGACGGAGAAGCTGGCATCGCTAGTGAGGGCGCTCTGGACGCTCGATTACACGCCTCAGCTGTCAGTGGAATTTAAGGTGAGTTTCGATCAACTTACAGAATGGAGTAACGAACCATGTGTAAATAACTTCTCTGAATTATCGTTTGTTTTTTCAGTGTAGAGTGGAATCGTTTTATTTGACTTAAGCTAAGATCAACAGGTAGATTTGTCTGACAGACACTGACTGATTCAGACAGATTTAGAGAATCGGATAAAAGATTAATTAAAACGATCAGAGTCAAATTATCTGTATCGCTATTTTGAGATAAATCCGTTTATCAAACTCGGTCTGAACAATTCGTTCATTAATTGGACTGAATCGTTGACCCTATAAGAGTTTCTTTCGGACATGTCCGATTCGCATTGATGTGGGTTCACACACTAGCGCATTCGCGTAAATGACTAGACTTCCTCATCGCTTATTCAACAATCTACAGCGTATTTGGTGGAAGTGGGAGGGGCTTAGAGTAGGAGGCGACCGGTGATTCACCTGTCAACAATTCGACAGACTTGATTTGGACGAATGCAGAATGTTTTTTATTGTAAAAAGGTGTTAGAAAAACAGTCATTTGTTTTATTCTGTTTTTTTTTTCTGTTTGCAAAAATGTAAATAGACTTTCATTTTGCATAACTGACAATAACACCCTTTTAAACATTATGCTTTTAAAAACAAACAGATAAACAGGATAAGAATTCTGTCATTCACTATCAACAATCATAGATTGCTCACAGCTATTTAGTTGTGTGCATATGCCTTGAAGGCACAGTATCTACACAGTCTTGTAACTCAATACTTGTCGAGAGAGAGATAGGAAAAAGAGAGAGCTGCACATTAGTCCACATTGTTAACAGACTTTGCCCCTGGTGTTCCCATTCATTCAGATCTACCCTGTTCGGCTTTTATACTGTGGACAGTTTCTGCTCTGTCTATAGACCTCATTAGCTTACAGTATCAAGTGTATCAAAGTGTACTTTTTTTTTTTTTTAAAGCCAGCCTTTCCCTGAATTTCACTGTATAAGTACTTCTGAAGCAGTTACTTTGGAACATTATTTCTGATGTATGCTTACAGTACATTAGAGTTATTCCAGCAAAACCCTCTCAAATTTGTCTTATGGCCAAGATTTTAAAATGAATTTTAGTATGATTTATAGTAATTTAAATGTATATTTTATGATTTATAATAATATCATTTATTATTAAAGGTGCAGTAGGAGATCTTGGAAAATGATAACTTTAGCCTGATAGCACTGAAAGCAAACGTTCCACCCTCCCTGCAATCGTTGTCCAAAGCCACGCCCCCTGAACGCATATACGCTCACAGACCAGAATACCAGAGACAACATTACTACAATAGGCTACATCATCGGTTCCCAATTCCAGCCCATGTTCCGAAGTTAAATAAACTTCAACGGATTTCCCCTGCTCATGGAGTAGGGAGCAATGAACACTGTGTTATCATATAGATCGGAACACAGTTCATGCACGTAGCTCTCTTCTAACAAACTGATTATCTGAATCGGGTGTGTTAACTAAGCGAGACATGCAAAATACATGCGCGAGGACTGGAATTGGGAACCGCTGGGCTGCCTACATCATCTGTCATTCACCAGTGAGAAAACTTTAAAAGTACTACAATACCAGGAAGGAAGATCGGGTTGTTGTTGTTTCTCTGCCATTCTCGCTCTCCACGTAGGGATGTAACGATTCACTCAACTCACGATTCGATTCGAATCTCGATTTTGGTGTCACGATTCGATTCGATTCACGATTGTTTTTTAACAAAATGAGATTTAAGACAAATTATAAATTAAATGTGTCCTTTTATTATTGCTTGGACAAAATGCTGCACGTTTCTTTGTGAAATTGAAATATAACACTATAATAATATACTAATATAGCACTTGCATATTATTGCTCAAGATGCTGCATACATGCAACATGAGCAGTTTTTAATCTAAATTAGAATGCATAATTTCGAAATTTGAAGCAAAAACAGAATGGTTTGACTTCAGTTTTGTGAAACTATGCATAAAAATATCTGCATTAAACAGAAACAGCAGACGAGCTGAGTGAGACGCAGGTTCACTCTCTGCCAGCAGGTGGCGCTTAAAGCGTTTCCTTGGTTTCGGCTGTAAACAAAGCAACTCTGCACTTATGAACTTTAATATGCATTATACAGAGGCAAGATAAAAAGAAAAAAATACCGTATTGACCCGAATATAAGACGATGTTTGTTTCTTGGAAATTTATCTGAAAAAACGCGGTCGTCTTATATTCAGGGTCTAGACTTTAACATGTCACCCACAACAATAGGTGGCGCCAAATACACATAAAACGAGTGTGCCATGAAATACGTAATGTAATGCGTGTT